CATGCATAGGCAACATGTGCTCCTCCCCTATCACCCCCCCCCCCCTCCTTCCCCTCACCAACATCCCAGCAAGTAGCAGCAGCAGGTCTGGGAAAATATTCCAACCCACTCGACGCAAGATGAGGCTCGCCCCCTTTCCCTAGTTTTCTTTTTGGTTTGCGCACAGCCCTCCCCCCAACCCCCCGCCTCGCCTTCCCCTTGCTGCTATAATCTGGCTAATTAATCACTTTGCATCGCGTTCGGCCGGAAGCGAGTGGAGGGGGGGCTGCGGGGGCCGTCAGGGCAGAGCTCTGCAGTGCAGGGACGTCCGATCGGCGTGCCTCGGTACATTCCACGCATTTTATCCACGGCTGTTTGGTGCGGGGTGGGGGAGCGTGGGGAGAGGGGGGACTGAAAAAGAGAAAGGGAGAGAGGCAGGATGGGAGAGACAGAAAGAAAGGGAGGTAGGGAGGGAGAGAGCAAGAGCATCGCGAAGGAATTGCGTGGCGTGTCCGCTGCAGTCGTTTGGATACCCGCATCACCTCGCCCAGTGGAAAGAAACAAAAGGGCTTGTTTTGTTTTTCCACGGACGACGAGACGAGATGTATGACGAAAGATCTTTTTGCAGAGTTCAGAGTTTCGAATTATTTGGCTTAAATAAATGGAACGCCTTATTATTTTCACCACAACTTTCTGTGAAATTATGAACTGAATTATGGATAGAGAAAAATGTATGTCGTGCATTACGGGCCCCCATCAGAGATTTGGTAGAGGGTGGGGTTGGGGGGGCATAAATAATTAATCCCGGATGAGCGTGAGACAAACAGAGTCCCGGCCCGGGGGCGCTCGTTATAGGCTGCGTTATACCTTTACACCCCTACCCCCATCCCCCCCATCTCTCATCCTCTCTGCTCCTTTCGTTTCTCGTTTATGTCCCCTCTCCCGGTGGCGTTCGCGCTTCGCCTTTTTCCTCATGGTCGACACAAAGACAGAGGAGCGCCTAGAGACCCCCGCGGGACGGCGCACTCTCGTGAGCAGTGCCTAAAGGGGAGGGGGTGACCGCCGCTCCTCTTCCCCAGTCTCACTCTACAGGGAATATAGAGAATTGCGCCCTTTCGTCCTTCGGTCTTTTCCCTCGACCTTAAAGCAAACACAAGCACTTCTCGACTCTTAACCATCACCCTTAGTTCCTTACAAACAGCAGTGTTACGAAGAATTGTAACGTACAAAAGGTGTATAGCAGCCACATTACGAACGATTTTCCTTCATATTACGAACAGCCTTCATTCGTAATACTGAAAGCCTTGTTTAAAAATACAAACCAGGCTCTTCGTAATACAAACAATTTGTTTGTAATAAATTGTGCATAATTATGCACAAATTATGGTTATCCATGAAAGTGCATTAACTTGTGGGTGCGTAAAATTATTCACTTATACGCTCAACAAAATGCACAAGAGTTTTGAATGCACAAACCACGTCGTCAAAGAAAGCTTGCGTGCGTGTATGTATATGTTTCGAGGAACGGGGCATCGTTTTGTTTCTCAGATATTAATGCATACTCTCGATTACCATGTATTTCCACCGCGCACATCGTAGCGTTCTCCGCTCCGAGTTACCGCGAACTCGTCGTGATGTGTGCTCGGTCTTGGTTGGTCCGCTCATCATCAACTGCATTCCTTCCTCTGTCTGCAGGGCAACGTGGTGAACAGCTCCTGGCCCGGCGTGCAGCTCAACAACCACTCGCTCATGCTGCAGTCTGTGCGGCGTTCCGGCGCGGGCAGCTACATGTGCACGGCCACCAACTCGGAGGGCGACGGCAGCAGCAGCACGGCCTCGCTCGACGTCCGCTGTGAGTACCTTGCTATGTCGGCCGTCAGGCCGGGGTGCCGCCCTCGGGGCCGCCTGCGCTGCGCGCGGTAGGCAGACCCGCCGCGGTGGCGCGCGCAGCGGCCGGCCCGCCCGGCGCACCGCAGGCGCTCCCCGACGACCCGGGCCCCTCACCAGAGTCTTTAGCACGTTGAGTCCACCTGACGGGCTAAAGGAATTTTGAGCTCGTTTCCAAGTCATTCGGATCTGCGTCACTCTGACCTCGTCCAATTCTAGTGAGGAGCCGAGCCCCGCCCCGAGAGAACGTCCCACACATTTGGGCGAGTATCGGTTCGAGTGCAACGGCCGAGAGTTGGGAATGATTTTTCCAACGTTTGCTGTTCAGTCTTTGACGGGTCAGGGCGGGGGCGGGGCGCCGCGCGTCGCGCCCGCTATTGTCCTCGCCCGCCGTGTAAATAAACCAAAGCCGACCCTCCGGCGGGAATCATTTGCAGACCCCCCATCCCCCCCTTCTTTTTACCCACAGGCCGCTTCGTCACAAGCGCATCACACCGTGCCATTGTATAAATAAATAATATTTTGTATGGGGACGGTTCGGTCGACGGTACAGGCGCTATGGCGCGGCGGGTGGCGGGTCAGCGGTTTGCCCAGAGTGGTACGGAAGGCCGCACACAAATTATCGCCCTCTTTAACTTTAGAAACCTCCCAAAAATACTGATGCTGTTATTTCTTTCTTGTTTTTCATTCTTTAATGTAATAATATTAATTAGCGTTTCGTTTGGCCTTTGCCTTTCGCGCCCTCGCCCTTTCCTGCCTTTTCCTAGGCAGCACCTCAACGCGTCAAAGCTTCGGGCCGCTTAAATCTTCATTAAATACTTACGCACGTCAGACAGCCCCCCTCCCCCTCCCTTCTGCGCCCGCCTTCCTTTTCCCCCACCCCTTTCCCCTCTCGCCGCCGCGTCGCCGGGGAGGATCATACCGCGAGTTGATGGGCGCTCGTCTGCGCCTGGACCCCGTGAGAGCTCCACAATCGGGCGCGGATGCTCTTCAGTCTGCATT